CGTGCGGCCCGGGTTCGATCCTCAGCACCACATACCAACAAAGATGTTGTGTCCGCCGAGAACTAAAAAATAAATATTAAAAATTCTCTCTCTCTCTCTCTCTCTCTCTCTCTCTCTCTCACTCTCTCTTTAAAAAAAAAAAAAAAAAAGATTCCCTTACCCCTGCTGCCATGTGAGGACACAGTGAGAACACAGCCATCTGTGAATCAGAAAGCAAGCCCTGACTAGACACTGGTGCTTTGATCTTAGATTTCCCAGCCTTCAGAACTGAGAAATAAATTTCTGTTGTTGATATGCAAAAGAAAAGGGAAAGAAAGAAAAGAAAAAAAGAAAGTATCATTCAGGGCTGGGGTTGTGGCTCAGTGGTAGAATACTTGCCTAGCATGCATGAGGCACTGGGTTCGATCCTCAGCACCACATAAAAATAAAATAAAGATATTGTGTCCACCTAAAACTAAGAAATAAATTAAAAAAAAAAGAATCGTTCATATCCTGGTACCCAAATATATCACTGTTACTGCTAGGTGCAGTGGTGCACCCCAGTTATTCAGGAAGCTGAGGCAGGCAGGTCACAAATTCAAGGACAGCCTGGGTGAGACACTATGTCTCTTGGCTGTAAATATCATTTTTCCCCCAGAGAGCACTGCTGGAAAAGAAGCAGAGAATAAATAAAAAGATTTGGGGGGACTGTGGCTGTGGCTCAGTGATAGAGCGCTCATCTAGCATGCGGGAGGCTCTGGGTTTGATCCTCAGCACCACATAAAAATGAAATAAAGGTATTATGTGTCCACCTACAACTAAAAAATAAATATATATTTAAAAATAAAAAGATCTGGGATGTGGCTCAATGGTAGTGCACCCTTGAGTATTCAGTGCTGAGTACCACCACCCCCTAAAAAAGAAGGAAAAAAAGAAAAAAATCTTTGCTATGTCCTCCATCTTTTCCCTGTGTGTATGTGTTTGTTTTGAATTTGTGATTATGCTTTGATAATAATACAATAATGACCATATATTTCCACAGATTTGAATCATATCCTCAGTGGGGCTAGAAATGCATTGTATGATTTAAAATAGATTTTCATAGGTGTTCAATAAATGATAAAAATGGTGCCTCATTTCTCATGTGGGAAAAATTAGTAGTATTATTTTTGTTTTGGTACCAGGGATTGAACCCAGGAGCACTTAACCAACTGATTCACATCTAAGACAGGGTCTCACTAAGTTGCTTAGAGCCTCACTAAGTTGTTGAGGGTGGCTTTGAACTCTCAATCCTCCTGCCTCAGCCTCTGAAACGGCTGGGATCACAGGCACGCGTCACCGTGCCTGGCCAGGAAAAAAAAAAATATTTACAATGGTTTTTATAAAGATCATTAAAAGCAGACTGCAAATATTTGAAGTGGCTAGGTCTCCTGGCTGTAAATATCATTTTTCCCCCAGAGAGCAYTGCTGGAAAAGAAGCAGAGAAAGAAGCGCCTGGAGCCACTCATGGTGCAGCCAAACCCAGAGGCCCGTCTACGTCGGTTAAAGCCAAGATGTGGTGAGGAGCACACGCCTCTGGTGGAGCCACAGACTCCGCACAGTGATGTCATCCTACATGGTGTGTATTTGGGCAGCCTCGTTTCCTGCTGAGGTACAGTTTTCACAGACCTAGGAGAAGGCAGGAGGAGTCTCAGATGGAGCACAAGGACAATGTTAGCATCGTCACTAGGTACCTTGAATCTTTATAATCACATTCTGGGTCTTTGAATAGAATTTTAAAAATGGTCCCTTTGTGGAAGATATCTTCAAGTTTACATCCATCCTAGAACTATTGTTTTTAGATAGCAAATGAATTAACTGAGGTGCTTACAGTTTGGGGTTTTTAATTTTTTTTTTTTAATTGTGGCTTTAGGGGCTGGGGTTGTGGCTCAGTGGTAGAGCACTTGCCTAGCATGTGTGAGGCACTGGGTTTGATTCTTAGCATCACATATAAATAAATAAAATAAAGGTCCATCAACAACTTAAAAAAAAAAAATGGGCATTAGGAATGGAACCCAGGGCCTCAGGCATGCTAGGCAAGTGCTCTACCACTGACTTACATCCCCAGCCCAAAAGAGCATACAGTTGTGGTTGTCACATCATGTCAGAGGTTAACTGTAAAGCCACAGGTATGTAGCTAAAAGGTAGCCAAAGGATCATCTTAGGTAATGAGGGAGGAGGAAGACTAGGACTAAGACCTTCTCAGTTACGCCCCTTGAGCAGCGCTTGACAAGATATATACTCTGGAGGACCTGTCTTGCTCACATCCAGCATGGGCAGGGAAAAGGGTTCCCCTCCGGAGGGATGAGCTGGCCGAGAAGTAAAAGCTAAGAAAAGTAGTACTACGAAATAACTGCAGGACACAGAAATATAGGTTCAGAATGGGGGCAGCCATGGGCCAAGCTGACCAGACAGGTGCCCCTTCTGACAAAGAAGGGAGCCCACGCCCTCTTTATTTATATCAGAACACATCAAAGAGATTCAGTAGAAAGTTCTTCACAGGGTAGAGGTGGGGCAGGTAGGCTGCTCAGTTCCTAACAGGTCATGCCCATCTCCCATACTGTGCTGGACCTTTAAGGGCAGAGCTGAGAGAGTGCTCACCTGTAATTGGGCAATCTTAATAGCAGGAGTGCCACTGTAAGTTCCCAAATTCCAGATCTAACTCCTCACTGGCTTCAGTGCTGTAAAGGTCCTCACGCATCTCCCATAGACCTACTTTATTTTCTTGGTCTCTCTTTCTCCTTTTTCTGTTCACAGAGTCAGGGACAGACCCCAGGGCCTTGTTCATGCTAGGCAAATATTCTACCACTAGAGATATACCTCCAGCCTCTTGGTATCAATCTTAAGTTTCTAAAATACAACATCAAGTACATGTTACTTCTGTAACAGAGCGTGTTCTGTTTGAACCCCAGGCTTGGGCTAATGTCCTTGCCAATATTAGGCAAGGAAGAGAAATGGTGGGGTAGTTCTTAGTTCTGATCACAAATACTAGAACTACCCAGCTAAATACTGGATAATACTTTGCTCTTTTTTCTCTTTTCTTTGGGACTCTAGGCATTGATGGTCCAGCTGCCTTCCTGAAGCCAGATGCTCACGATTTGGAAACCAAACTTCATGTTCTCTCAGTAGGTTCTTCTGCTACAGAAGAAGATATTGAAGGTAGTGTTGATGGGGAAAGCACTCTGGATACTGCTTCCAAGCCAGACCTTGAGGAGATTCTCCAAAAACATGGTGAGGTTTGGAAATGATTATAAGGCAATTTACCTTCTGTAAGGCACTTGACATTTGTAATCTTTCCTTTACATTCTTTCATTGTTGATTAACAATCAAGATGATTTAAAATTGCTTGTAATGTGGCTTAGGGCTTTATAGAGATGGTAGTGGAAGCAACTTTGATATCTGAGTAGTGGTCATTGTCAAAAATAGTAACATTTATGCTATTGTCTAAGAAAATAAAATAATTAAATCAAATATAGAATGAATATTAGCTACTAGATATGACTTGTGTGTGTGTGCGTGTGTGTGTGTGTGTGGCTGAGGATCAAACCCAAACCCAGGATGGTCTGCATGCTAGGCAAGCATACTACCACTGAGTTATTTCCCCAGTTCTTATTCTTCTGTATTTTTGAAACGGTGTCTCCCTGAGTTGCCCCACTGGTCTCTAACTTGCAACTTTCTTGCCTCAGCTTCCCAAGTAGCTGCGATTATAGGTGTATGCCACCACACCCAGCTCTTTCTCACTATTTGGATAAATACTGGATAACACTTTGCTCTTTTTTCTCTTTTCTTTGGGACTCTAGGCTTTTTCACTTCTTTTGACAAAAGTTGCTTTCAACACCTTTACCCTGCCTCCATTTCTTAGTTCATGATAATCTAGAACCTACTTTGTACCAGTTGGAGTTCTCATTATTATAAGTATAGAGGTCCCTATAGTCTTCTTTGTTCCTTAGAAGAATAATTTTATATAGGCTGAGATTTAGTTCAGTGGTAGTGCTTATCTAACATGAGCAATGACCTGGGTTCTTTCCCCAACCCTGCACAAAAAGAAGAAAAGCACCATGATGTGGTGATTAAGCTGGGCAAAGACAGATCTACATCTGCCTGTGCCCTGCTGTCAGCTGGGATGCCACCGATGGTTTGAATGTCTCTGTAAGTCAGGCACTTAACATAAGCAGTCTTATTTGATGGTTCTTGGGCTGGGGGGTGTAGCTGAGTGGTTTTTGGTATATTCAGAGTTCTACAACCATTATCACAATTTATTTTAGAATATTTTAATTACACCAAAAAGAAACCTTGTACCCATTAGCAGTTGCTTCTTATTTCCCTCTTGCCTCTGCAATCCTATGYAACTACCAACTATGGATTTGCCTTTTCTGGACACTTTCTGTAAATGGAATCATACAGTATGTGGTCCAACATTTTTTTTTTTTCACTTAGCATAATGTTTTCAAGGTTTATCTATGTAGTAGCACATATCACTACTTCATTCCTTTTTATTTTGAATAACATTCCATTATATAGATAGACTACATTCTGTGTATCTGTTTATCACTCGGTGGCCATTTGGGGTTTTGTCCTACTTTTTTTTTTTTTTTTAAAGAGAGAGAGAGAATTTTTTTTTTAATATTTTTTTTTTAGTTTTCGGCAGACACAACATCTTTGTTTGTATGTGGTGCTGAGGATCGAACCCGGGCCGCAAGCATGCCAGGCGAGTGCGCTACCGCTTGAGCCATATCCTTAGCTCCTGTCCTACTTTTGTCTATTATGATTTTTTTTTTTTTTTTTTTGGTACAGGGGATTGAACCCTGGAGTGCTTTACCACTGAGCTACATCCCTAGCCCTTTTTATTTTTTTTTTATTTTGAGACAGTGTCTCATTAAGTTGCTTAGTTTCTGAGGTTCACTAAGTTGGTTGAGGTTGTTGTGCTCAAACTTGCTATTCTCCTGCCTCAGCCCCTGGATTTGCTGGGATTACAAGCAAGCGCCAGCATACCAGGTTCTATTATGAATAATGTTGCTATGAGTATTAATGTAGAGTAGCCTCTGTTATCTGTGGGAACATATTTTAAGATGCCCTATGGATGCCTGAAGCCATATATATGCTGTGTTTTTCCTATACCTACATACCTATGATAAAAAGTAAAGTATAAATTAGGCACGGTAAGAGATTAACAGCTACTACTAATAAAATAGAACCATTGTAACAATGTAGTGTAATAAAAGTGATGTGTTGAGGCTGGGATTGTGGCTCACCGGTAGAGCCCTCGCCTAGCACGGGTGGGACCCGGGTTCTATCCTCAGCACCACATAAAAATAAAGGCGTTGTGTTATGTCCATCCATACCTTAAAAAAAAAAAAAAAAGTTATGTGAACGTGATCTCTCTCTCAAAACATGGAATTTTCCCTTTAATGGTTTTGGGCTATGGTTGCCKGTGTGTAACTGAAATCACAGATAACAGGGGACTATTGGGTAAGTTTTTGTGTGGACATATGTTTCCACTTGAGATTGAGTTTTAACTAGCCTTTGTCTTATCCTTGGGTGTCCTTGAGTAAAGCTAATACATTTATGCACTATGTAAGGATAGATTATAATTTTCTTTCATCTAAGATGGTTGAATGTGGGTAGGAAGTGGTTTGGAGAAAAAAGCCACACTGTTGTTAAATCTGCTTATAAACCCATGATTTATTATTTAAATCATGATTTATTATATAAATCTTATTATATAAGAGTCACTTCAGTCTATGGACACAAGAAAAAAGGAAATTTAGTTTAGGTCCTATTTTTGATGCTTTCTCTTAAGGAAATAATTTTCCCTGAGCCGCTTCCTCCCAACTGTAAGTCTGAGCACTATGCTTTTATCATACATGTTACACTTTATGTCACACTTCCATTTACATTTGTATTCCTCTCTAGACTGTATGTCCTATAAACAAACAAAAAACAAAACAAAAATAATACTGCCAGGATCTCCTACTCAAACTCAAGTAAATGTGAGGAAAACAATGAAAAAAAGTGTTTTCATCTCACAGTTTTAAGTTTTTATAAGCCTCGTCGGGATGTTCCTCAGTAGTAAAGTGCTTGCTTAGCATGTGCAAAGGCCCTGGGTTTCATCTCCAGCACTGGGGGAAAAAGAAAAGAAAAAAAGATTATGAAAGATTCTGCATGAATTTTAGGTAGTATTTTAAATATCTTAACTGGAGTTAGTTGACTAGACATAAGCAAAATACAGAAAAATAAAAAAGTAACTGATCTAGAAAACAGGCGATCATTGATTTTGTGTGGGGGAGGGGTATGAAAAATACGTCAATACATCATAAAACAAAATTTACCATTTTATAGTATACGGTTGAGTGGCATGAAGTACATTTACAGTGTTGTACAACTGTCACCAGAACATCTCCAGAACTTTTTGTCATCTAAGAACTTCTTCCTCCATACTTATTCAAAATAATTCCCCATTTCTCCCTGCTCCCACTTCCTGGCAACCACTATTATCCCTTCTGTCTCTACAGATTTTCCTGTTCTATGTACTTCACATAAATGAAATCATACAAGATTGTCTTTTAGTATCTAGCTTATTTCATTTAGCATAATGTCTGGGTTTGCCTGTGTTGTCATTTATCAGAATGTCATTCTTTTAAAAGACCAGATAATAGTTGCATTGTATGCATCTACCATAATTTGTTCATTTATTCATCAGTTGATGGATATTGGATGGTTGCCATCTGCTGAATATTTTGAATATTGCTGCTGTGAACATTTTTGTACAAATACCTGTTCAGGTTCTGCTTTCAATTCTTTTGTGTGTATACCTGGAAATGGAATTGCTGGGTTACATGGTAATTCTGTGTTGTCTTTTTTTAGGAATTGCTCTATCATTTTTCTGCAGGTGCTACATAATTTTACCTTGCTACTAGCAATGCACAAGGTCTCCAGATTTTACAAATCCTGGCCAATACTTATCACCCCCCCCCCTTTTTTTTCTTTTTAATAATAGCCTTCTACTGATGTGAAGTGGTATCTTATGCTTTTGATTTGATTTCCCTATTACTACTGATGTTGAACATGTTTTGTGTGCTTATTTTCTTGTATACATCTTCTTTGGAGAAATGTCTAAGTCCTTTGCCCATTTTCTTTCAATTTTTCACATTTTTATTGGTGCATTATAGCTATATACAATGATAGAATTTGTTGTTACATATTCATATATACACACAATAAAACAATATAATTTGGCCAATTTGGCTCCCCAGCACTGCCTGCCTTCCTTACCTACATCCCATCCCTTTTCTCTAATCTACTGATTTCCCCTTGATTTTCATGAGATACCACCTACCTTTCTTTTCCTTTTTCTTCTCTGTCTTCCACATATGAAAGAAAACATATAATCCTTGGTCAGAGTTTGACTTATTCCACTAATATAATGTTCTCAAGTTCTATCCATTTTCCTACAAATTTTTTTAGATAAACCATTTTTCCCCTTTTTTATTTGTTCTAATTAGTTCTACATTACAGCAGTATGCATTTCAACTTGTTGTCCACAAATGAAGCACAACTTCTCATTTCTTTGGCTGTACATGATGCAGAGTCGCACCATTCATGCAGCCACACGTGTACATAGGGTAATAACATCCATCTCATTCCACCACCCTTCCCACTCCCACATCCCCTCCCCTCCCTTCACTTCTCTCTGACCAGTTCCTCCATTCTTCCCTAGGCCCTCCCATTATGGATCAGCATCCGCATATAAGAGAAAACATTTGGCCTTTGGTTTTGGGGGATTGGCTTATTTCACTTAGCATGATATTCTCCAACTCCATCCATTTACTTGCAAATGTCCTAGTTTTATTCTTCTTTAAGACTGAGTAATATTCCATTGCGTATGTATACCACAGTTTCTTTATCTATTCATCTATCGAAGGGCATCTGGGTTAATTCCATAGTTAACTATTATGAATTGAGCTGCTATAAACATTGATGTGTCTGCATCACTGTAGTATACTGATTTTAAGTCTCTGGGTATAAACTGAGGAGTGGGACAGCAGGGTCAAATGGTGGTTCCACCCCAAGTTTTCTAAGGAATCTCCATACTGCTTTCCAAAATGACACAATTTTTTCGTCTTTATGGCTGAATAAAACTCCCTTGTGTTTATATACCACATTTTAAAAAATCCATTCATCTGCTGATAACCTTTGTCCATTTTTTACTTGACTTGATTTTTTTGTTATTGTTGTATGGGTTCTTTATTTGTTAGACATTAACCCCTTTATCAGATGGGTGATTTGTAAATAAGTTTTTCCATTAGATATGTTTTATTTTATAAATTTTAAAAAAAAATATTTATTTATTTGGTACTGGGGAGTTAACTGATGGGTGCTTTACCACTGAGCCACATCCCCAGCTCTTTTTATTTTTTGTTTTGAGAAAGGGTCTCAATAAGTTGTTTTGGGCCTCACTCTGCGTTGTTGAGGCTGGCCTCAAATTTGTGATCCTCCTGCCTCAGCCTCTCCAGTCATTGGGATTATAGGCCTGCACCATCATGCCCGGCAGACTCGATGTTTTAAACAGCTAAATTGGGGTGGCAATAGTGGAAAGGGGAAAAAAATAAGGAGGGGTATGAGAATATGAATTGTCAGATTTGGGGTAAAACATCTTGTATTTTGGGTCAGAATAGTTAGGATTTCTTTCCTTTTTTCTTTTTGTCTTTGATGGTGCTAGGAATGGAAGCCAAGCCTTGCACAGGCTGGGCACGTGCTCCTACATGCAGCAGCACTGAGCTGAATCCCTAGCTGGGTTAGGAATATTTTAAGCAAGAAAATTCAAACTTATCTTTGTTTAAAAGATTTTCTTTTTTAAGCCATTGTTGTCAATATTTACTTTTCTGCCAGGTATCTCAAGCAGTTTGAACTTTGATGAGGAGGATACTGATGGTGAGGAAGAAGAAGGGAAAAAACGAAGTTCACAGTCACCATATTCAGAAACAGAGAGACCCAGTTCTGCATCCAGCCAGAAATCGACCACAGTATGTAGTTCTGAAACTTCTTCCTTTGGAGCTAATTTGGCTATTTCCCAAATAATCAAATGTATTAAATATGATTACTGATTGAGGATTCCTTCAAAAGTTGTAAACTCAAATTTAGACTTGGAAATTATGACTTCAGTTGTTCTGTCTTAGGTTAGCCACTGTAAGGTCATGTCCTGTTTTTTATTAAGTGTCTTCATTACTCTGAATATCCACGCCTTGTTTGGTTATTCAGTGTCTTGTGTTTTGTTGGAAGACTAGAGACAAGGGAGAAATCAGTACTTTTTGCAGAGAGTCTGAGGTTTTCTTACCCAGCCTACTGCTCATGTGACTGTTACCCGCTGTTGACCGGTTCTTGCTTCCCCGATGTTGAAGAATAACACCAAAGAAGCACGCCGAGGCAAGGCCAGAGTAGAGATTAGAAATTTATTAAAGGACAGAAGAAAAGACTTCTCCCGGAGGAAGAAGGGGACCCAAGAGGTGGAATCCGCGGAAGTGCAGTTGTCTCCCCTTTTTATAGTTCTTTCAGTAATGGAATGTAGGTGGGAAGGGTTTGGGACAAAGGAGTAATCTGGTCATTTCCGAGTCAAGTTTGCTGTTCATTAACATTTCTTTGGGATGAGCTATCTCCAAATCTGTTGGGGGCTGTATCCTGGGCTTCATTAACATTTCTTTGGGATGGGCTGTCTTCAAATCTGTTGGGGGATGTTCATTAACATTTCTTCCAGGTGGACTTTGGCCTAGGGCCTTTATTAACATTCCATGAGTTGCCCTGTTTTCCCTGAGTCATTCCCAGCATGGCCTCCATTTTAGATTTCACTCGATATTAGACCCGATTTACTTAACTACACTGACTACCTAACTTTAAATCTGGCTTCATGACCATCCTTTCAGGATCCAGGAGCTTCCAGTGCTGTGTCCCAGCAGGTTGACAACCAGCTGGGAGAAGTGGAGAATTTGGAGGATTTTGCCTATAGTCCCGCCCCTCGAGGTGTCACAATGAAGTGTCGGATAACCAGGGATAAAAAAGGAATGGATCGGGGTCTCTTTCCCACTTACTTTATGCACCTGGAAAAAGATGAGAATCGGAAGGTATGAGGATTGATTCCTAAGACAACTTTTTCCCCTCTTTTTCTGTGGTGCTGGGGATGGACCCCAGGGTTTGTTAGGCAAGCGCTACCACTGAGCCCCTGAGAAGACTCTTGAGAAGACTTGCAGGAATAGATTGTTGGTGAGCCTCACAACAGAGAGATAAAGCTGATAGTTATCTAGTTGGTTGAAGTGGATTGTGTGTTAATCCCCAGAGGTGTTTTCATTGTCTTCAAAGAACTATAGTCAAATAGCCAGGATCTATCCTTCCCCACCCCTGCCTGGCCCTAGGGAAAAGACTTATCAGTATGTAGGATAAATAGAGGAGATTTTTTTTTTTTCATGCTGGGAATGGAACCTAGGGTTTTGCACATGCCAAGCAAGTACTCTACCACAGAGCTACGCAGCCCTAGAGAAAGGTTTTTGTTTTTTGTTTGTTTTTTTTTTTTAGTTTTAGGTAGACACAATATCTTTATTTTATTTTTTATGTAGTGATGCTGAGAATCGAACCCAGTGCCTCACGCATGCTAGGCAAGCGAGCTACCATTTGAGCCACACCCCCAGCCCCTAGAGAAAGTTTTAATGTAATTCTTTTCCCCCCTCTCCTATTATTTATTTTTGGTTAGTTTTTCTTTTTATCTTGGTAGATCAGGACATGGAAAGGAGAACAAGTTTTAGGGAATAGGAGGAATTGGAAATATGAAAAGAGATGCAAGAGTCTTGTTTCTTAGCCTAGACATTCTAATTTATGTTTGAGGCAAATTGTGTGGGTGGCAGATACTGAGGATTGAACCTAGGGGCTCTTTACCACTGTTACCACTAAGCTACATCACCAGTTCTTTTTTTTTCTTTTTTCTTTTTCTTTTTTTTTTTTTTTTTTTTTTTTTTTGAGGCTAGCCTGGGAATTACAATCCTCCTGCCTCAGCCTTCCAAGTTGCTAGGATTATGGGCATGTGCACCGTGCCCAGCAAGTTTGAAGCAGTTTAATACTTGCTAATATGCAGAGCATTTGGGACTAATTCTAGATATAAGTGGATGATTTTAAGTGCTTAGAAATGAGATGATGATGGTAGATATTATTCATATAAACACTACTTATTGAGGGTTAACAACATACCAGCATGTTAACACCTACAATCACTAAAGCCACAGGGACTTAAAACAACAACAAAATACAAAAAGAAGTTTTCAAAAACAGCTACAGGAAGGTGTTCAGGATCCTGTCTCTCCTACAGATGAAAAGACTTTTTCATGGCATTAGATGATGATTCTTTTAGAAGTTACTGGAAGTTTTAAGAATAAAGGTGTAAAGACTTATATGGAGAGTCAAGTTAGTGAGTTCATTAAAAATGTACAGGAGGAAGGCTGGGGCTGTAGCTCAGTAGCAGAGTGCTTGCCTAGCAAGTGTGAGGCACTAGGTTTAATCCTCAGCACCACATAAAAATAAACAATAATATAAAGGCATTCTGTCCATCTACAACTATAAAAAGTAAATAAAAATGTACAGGAAGGAAATTGTGATAGTTTTGGTTAGATTTGTTTTGGTGCTGGTTACTCAACCCGGGGTTCCATGCGTGCTAGGCAAGCCCTCTGCTCTATGCCATACTCCCAGACTTCCTGATGTTGAATTCTGAGAAGCATAAAGGATTTAGAAAACGGGAAAAGAGTGCTGGGGTGTAGCTCAGTGGTAGAGCACTTGCCTAGTGTGCATGAGGCCCTGGGTTCAACCCCCAGCACCAATTTAAAGGTAACATGTAGCTAGGCATGGTGGCACATGCCTGTAATCCCAGCAGCTCAGGAGACTGAGGTACGAAGATCATAAGATCAAAGCCAGCCTCAGCAAAAGCAAGGTGCTAAGCAACTCAGTGAGACACTGTCTCAAAATAAAATTACAAAAAGGGCTGGGGATGTGGGTCAGTGGTCGAGTGCTCCTGAGTTCAATCCCTGGTAACCCCCTCCCCACCACAAAATAATGGTAGCATATGACCAAAGTTTGTTTTTTTCTCCTTAAAGTCTAAATAAAGGGAAAGCAGTTTCCCATTAAGAAAAAAAGAAAGGGAAAGAAAGGGATGAAGAAAGGGAGGGAGGGAGGGAGGGAGAAAGGCAAGAAAGGAAAAGTGGAAAGGGAAAGGGAAATGACCCAAAGATTGAGTGCTTGGCACATGGTAGACACTTGTAAAACATTTGCTGAAGTAATAGGCGGAAACTTGGGGGTTCACTTGATTTCATTTTTTGATTGACACTTTTTTTTTTCCCCAGATATTTCTTCTTGCAGGTAGAAAGCGGAAGAAGAGCAAAACATCCAACTACCTGATTTCCACTGATGCAACAGATTTATCTCGTGAAGGGGAAAGTTACATTGGCAAACTCAGGTGACAGCAGCCTTATATCACTATCCTATTATTTCGATATCTGTATTCCTATGGTTTCAGAACAGTCCATAAGCTTTTTAGTTTTTACAATCAGCATGTATAGATGTGGAATCAAAAACGAAAACAACAACGTTAAAAGAAAATCTTAAGTCCCTTCCTTGTCTAATGAAAGATCTTTGAAAAAGTGATGATGACCCTTTGAGCATTTGGAGAGCAGGCAGCTAGGCCTCCCTTCTACTGCTTAACCTTTTCTCTCCTAGTTAGGAAAATACACAGATCCCATTGTGCCTTTTTCTCCTGACACCAGATCCAACCTCATGGGGACCAAGTTCACAGTGTATGACCATGGAGTCAGCCCAGTCAGGGCCCAGGGTCTGGTTGAAAAGGCGCACACGCGGCAGGAGCTGGCCGCCATCTGCTACGTACGTGACCCTCCCAGCATACCCTTTCTCCTTCACCCCGCGCACCCTGCTGGTGCCACCGCCAGCCGCCCTCCAGGCTCGTTTCCACTTCTCTGATCCCTCTTTCTGCTGCTGGTATTGTTTTCTTCACATATTCATGTTTTGATTGGGTTTAATTGTGAAATTATTTATGTAGGAATTATTTTTCACTTTTGTGCTGTTTCTTGCCTCATTTACTCTTCTCTTTTCCTAATGCCACTTAATTCAGACCTTCCTGACCTTTTCTCCATTGACCAGAAGTTAGAATACAGTAAAACCATCTCTTTGCTTTTAATCCTTCCTTCTTTTCTTCCCTTCTTCCTCCCTCTCTTCCTTCCTTCTTTCCATTTCTCAAGTTGATTTCCTTTTTTTTTGGTATTTTATTGAGAGACGGTCTCACAGAGTTGCTCAGTGCCTCACCATTGCTGAAGTTGGCCTCCTGCCTCAGCCTCCTGAGCCATTGGGATTACAGACATGCACCACCGTGCCTGGCTCTTTTTTTCTTGATAGAGACTTGCCAAGTTGCCCAGGCTATCCTTGAACTCCTGGGTTTAAGGACTGACTCAGCCTCCCAAGTGTCTGGGATTAATTATAGGCACATGCCACTGACCAAGCTTCCTAATTTTCATTCTCTTTTTAATTACACAAAGTAATAAAATTGTTTTTGGTGTTCTTGACATTGTTACCATTTGCCAGTGTGTTGGTACTGGGGATTGAACTCAGGGGCACTTATCCACTGAGCTCCATCCACAGCCCTTTGCATTTTTAAATGTTGAGACAGGGTTTCACTAAGTTGCCAAGTCTGGCCTTTGACTTGTGATCTATCTGCCTCAGTTTTCCATGTGTCTGGGGTTACTGGAGTGCACCTCTGTACCTAGCCATCGTCCGTATTTTTTTTTTTTAATTTTTCTTAGTTGTGTATGGACAGCAGGCCTCTGTTTTATTTCTTCATTTCCATATGGTGCTGAGGCACCCACTGCCTCACGCATACCAGGCGAGCACTCCTCTGCTGAGCCACAGCCTGGCCCATTGGCAGCATGTGTGTGCCTAAGGAAGCCTCATGTTAGGACAGACATGGTCTCTTTTTCTTTTCTGCTTCAAATTGTGCTTTATTTTCCCATCTTCCAGGAAACAAATGTGCTTGGATTTAAAGGCCCTAGGAAAATGTCTGTGATTATTCCAGGGATGAATATGAATCATGAGCGAATCCCGTTTCGGCCACGAAATGTAAGTAAGGACAGGCTTGATTGACAAAGGGCTCAAAAAGACAATGACATAACACAGAAGAGATCAGCACAGAGAAAGTATTGATTCGTTCAGATCCTGAACTGGAATATGCTCACACTCTTCTTTAGGAGAGCCGTTGCCCAAATTCTCAGGATAATTGCAGTTCCAGAGATGCTAGTGAAGTCATTGACTTGAAATCATTTCTTCTGCAAAGAGAAATGCTGGATCATATGTAATAAATAACCACAACAACAACCTGGCTTAGTGTTGAATTTAACTCTTTTCTTTTAATTTACCCTTTCTGAAATGGAGAAAATATTTACCTACTTCTGCCTTAAAATAAAATAAATGTGTTATCATACTTCTCAGTACAAAATAACAATTTTACCTTCCACCAGGATCATGAGAGTTTGCTTTCAAAATGGCAAAACAAAACCATGGAGAACTTGATTGAACTGCACAATAAGGCCCCAGTCTGGAATGACGACACTCAGTCCTATGTGCTGAACTTTCACGGCCGGGTCACTCAGGCATCTGTGAAGAACTTCCAGATAGTTCATGAAAATGACCGTAAGCCACAGGAAGGGCTGTGTTGGAATGGGGACAGGGTTCTGACAAAACAGAAATGATCGCTTCCTATAACTGATAGGAAGTTATATTCAGGAGAGAATTACTTCGGAAAGAAAGGATTTGTCTGGAAAGACAAAACTAGACTTTTAGAAGAAAACTTCCCAATTGTTGTTGAAGCCAGGCATGGCAGCCCATGCTTGTTAATCTTAGTGACTCAGGAGGCTGAGGCAGGAGGATTGCAAGTTTTGAGGCCAGACTCACCAACTTGGCAAGACCCTATCTCAAAAAGGGCTAGGAATGCAACCCTGGGTTCAATCCTTAGTCCCAAACAAAACTTTTGTATCTTCTATATATTTCCTATTGTATCATTTCTTTTTCTTTGTTTTGGGTTCTTTCATGTTGGGGATTGAATTCAGGGCATCAGTACATGTTAATCACATGGAAATCACTGAGTTACGCCCTAGCTCATACCCACTTTGTTTCAGTTTCCTAATTTAAAGAGAACTGGTGATAAACTGATCCTGAGTTTTGTTTTGTCCCCTGTATCTAAAAATATATTGGGTTTTTCCCTAGTACAATCACATTATGGTCTAACCTCCAAATTTCTTTCTTTTTCTAGCTGACTACATAGTCATGCAGTTTGGACGTGTGGCAGATGATGTGTTCACGCTGGACTACAACTACCCGCTGTGTGCACTTCAGGCCTTCGCTATTGGGCTTTCTAGCTTTGACAGCAAGCTAGCTTGCGAGTAAAAAAAGCAATCAGAGCTGAGCTCGCTTGCTACAGAGCTTTCAGGAGCAGGAAATCGCCACCTTGACCTTGCAGAACATGAAGAGCAAGAGTATGACTCTTTTGGAATGATCCCTGTGTGTGTGTGTGTACATACAGTACATACATGTGTTTATGCATGACTGTGTGTACACACACACACACACACACACACACACACACACACACACCCTTCTCTGAGCTCCAGAGACTTGGTCAGGGATCACAGCTTAGCTTAGCTTGGGTGAGAGAGGGTTTAAAGCACAGACAGGTTCTTGTCAGGAGTTCATTAGTGGCTCCTGAAGTTATCACCCAACAGATTCTGTGCCTCAAGAGTGAGATTCTTATGCTTGGAGATTTGCAGCAGAATCAGATTCTAACGATTAAATACTTGGGTCTCTTTTTTAGAAGGCCTTTTCAGAGAGTGATGGTTCCCTAAATTGCCTTTAGTCTCCAGAGCAAAAGCCTACAAACTTTGTCTTCAAATGGCCTAATAATCTCTCTCACAGCTACTCAAATCTGCCTTTGCAGTGCAAAAGTAGCCGTAGATATTTCATGCACAAACAAATGTGGCTGTGTTCCAATAAAACTTTATTTACAAAAACACACAGCAGGCCAGATTTGGCCTGTGGGCTCCAGTTTGCCAACTCCTGCTTCAGGTATATCCATATGCTCTGTGGGCTTGAACAACTTCCAGAAGGGGCCTGTGATCATGGAATTGTGAGTGGAAAATGACACCCAGGAGCAACAGTTTTACGGATTGTACCTTAAGGGGTACTCGTGCTACAGCCATTGTTAGGTAGCTTTTACCTTGTTTTTGTGACAGTGGTTCTAGATTGTCATCTACCATAGGGACCAAGAAAACCCAAAGCTAGTGATCATTTTGAGCCCACACAGGTGACTGAATTCTGCTCTCTCATCATAAGAGAAGGTAGAGCCTGCACTGTATTCCCCTGGAAGAAGACCTTATGTGCCCCAGGAAACCAGCTTAGAAGTGTTTTCTTTATCAGAGGGAATGTAGTATTTGTTTCTTGGGACCAGCTTCTTTTTCCATGGAATGGGAAGGTTCTAACATCACAGTCCCCTTGTTTTCTTCCCTCAGGGTAGGTGGGTAGGCAGCAGTCTCAGTGGCTGTGACAAGATTTGTGATCAACGATGTGAAAATTTTCTTTAATTGTCGTTGTTTCAGTTTAGGCTGAAAGCACACACTCTAGAGGGGACTTAGCTCTAGTGAAGACCAAGAGTCCTTTGATAGTTGCCTTCCTTCTCAACCCACTGTGCCTCCCACAGCTATGACACCATGGTGCCACTAGTGTGGAAGGCCACACACACCTGCACACATTGCAAGAAATAAGGGAACGTTGTGTGCAGGAACTATATCAGTGTTATTGTCAAGAGAGGTGGCAGAAGAGATTTGGTGAATACCGCTAGTTGCCTCTTGAGCTCTGCACACCTTTCTGGGAAGAGCTTTGGGCCCTTCTTGATGTCCATGTTACTAGCCCCCTAAGCCTGGTCCATCAGTGCAGATGCTGCTCCTGTCACTTTTCCTCTCAGATCCTAAGATTTCTACTGAGTCTTTCAGATATGAGCTCCTCCCAGCAAATTATGACTCTTACACAAATTCATGGGCACCACAGTGGTATCTGAACTTGAGAATCCAAAAACTCTGTGAGTTCTATATTGAGCACCATTCAACTCCCAAGCCTTTGGGCACTGAGCTGTTTGCCAGCATGAGGCCAGGAATCGGATGCGGCTCTGTGATATTTCCCTCCTTTCATCCCTGCTTCCTGTTGCTGCTCCTTTCTCCAAATCAAATAGCCACATAAAGGCAGGAGACCCAGGAGATGAGGAGATCCTGTGCTCATCCCCTACTGGCAAGGCGGACTGCTTGTTTCGACACAATTGGTTTCCACCTCAGGCATGCTTCCCATAAAGTGCCTCATTTATAAAAGTGCCCGAAAGCCTGTCATACCTCTGTCCCCACCGTGCTGATGTACCGTCTAACAAGTGACCCTTGTTGAAGAAGAAAGCTGTCCACTGATTTCCTGTCCTAGGATAACAGTGTCTGGGAATGGAGGACCTACGGTGGGGTGACTGGATCTGATCCTGCTTCTTCCTACTCTCTCTGACTCAGAAAGCTACAGACCCCAGTTTCATGTACTCTCATCTTGAGTGTGCAGATGATTGGTTTTACATAAATCATATTTATACCTTTTGTATGCTACAGAAATAAATGATAATTTATATAAAAATATGAACGTCGTCTTCCTCCTGATCTCATCCTTACAGTTCCTCTGTCAGGGTCTCTAGTGAAATTTTTCATCGTGTCAGCAGTGAGCTGATGAGGTCTTTGTGATCAGTATCAGCACAAACTTTGGACCTGGGGTAGAGCAGGAGGCTGCAGACTGAGCTGTCTATTTTGGAGGCTACCAGGGCACATCATCCATGTGACACCAGAGCTTACTGGACTGGTAGCAGGACCCAGAGCTAAGCTGACAGGCCACAGAGAGCAGCCTTTATATCACCTGGACACTGCACTGCTGAGCCTTCAGGATGTCTTTTATAGTCATTGCTGCCAAACAAGTGAAGTGTCTAATGGTAAAAGACCCCTCCCCCATCTCTAAGAATTCACATTTTAAGCGCTACCTTATATTGATAAGTTGAAAAGAAAGCATATGTTCACAAATCTTTAGTAGGCTTCCCTGCACAAAGCAGTGTCATGGCAATAATAAGACACAGGAAAAAAGCAGGAGCCTGAAGCAGGGTGAGAGCTGGAGCCTGTGCTCAATTCCCCCTTTTAATATTTTATTTAGAGACAGGGTCTTGCTGAGTTGCTAAGGGCCTGGCTAAGTTGCTGAGACTGGCTCTGAACTCACGATCCTCCTGCCTTAGCCTCTCGAACCACTGGGATTACAGGCATGTGCCACCACACCTAGCTTAGCATTCAGGTTTTTTTTTTTTAAATTTTTTTAGTTGTAGGGGCTGGGGATGTGGCTCAAGCGGTAGCGCGCTCGCCTGGCATGCATGCGACCCGGGTTCGATCCTCAGCACCACATACCAACAAAGATGTTGTGTCCGCCGAGAACTAAAAAATAAATATTAAAAAAAAAAAAAAATCTCTCTCTCTCTCTCCTCTCTCACTCTCTCTGAAAAAAAAAATTTTTTTTTTAGTTGTAGTTGGATACAATACCTTTATTTTATTTATTTATTTTTATGTGCAGCTGAGGATCAAACCCAGCACCTAACGTGTGAGGCGAGAGCTCTTCTACTGGGCCACAGCCACAGCCCTTTTGATTTTGAGACAGGGTCTGTAGTGAAGTTGCTGAGGCTGGCCTCAAACTGGGGATCTTCCTGCCTCAGCTTCCAGAGTTGTTGAGATCACTGGCATGCCACAGTGCCCAGCTGATTTTGAAAAAGATAAATGTCTTATTTTACCGGTACAATTATGAGATGAGTTGACATTTGTCAGTTCAGTTAACAGTAACGGTACATAATTCTCTCAGACACATTGCTCCACAGAGGAAATGCTGGGACACTGGGAGCTGCCCTTTTCCTTGGCCTCCAGCTCCTTCTCTGAGTAGAAGGGCCCTAAGTTTCAGAGGGTGGCCTTGAACTCCCAATCATCCAACTTCAGCCTGAGTATCTTGGATTACAGGTGAGCACCACCACACCAGACCTCAGTCTTGAGCTGGTTATGTAGCTCAGTGGCAGAGTACTTCCATAGCATGTGTGAGGCCCTGCAAAAAAGAAAAAAAAAATGCCTGTCTTGCTGGGTATAGTGGCTTGAGACAGGAGAATTACAAGTTTGAGGCCAACTTCTTAACAAGATCCAGTCTCAAAAAAAAAAAAAAAGGTCTGGAATGGCAGATGTCCCTGGGTTCAGTCTGCAGTAAAGTCTAGTCTTTCAACAGATCAACCAGTAGATTTTCCCCCACCTACAAAAACCTGCACTGCCACAATAATAATTTGCTGTTAGTGCTATGAGGACTACAGACTTCAGATGGTTTTATGGCACCACCTGGGGACCAAAGCTGCACATTACAAGTGCATTAAAATAACAAAATAACAACACTGATGTAATATAGGAGAGGAGGTCTAAAAAGGCTGAGTGACTCCTGCACCATCTTGTTTACTAAGCACCCTAGTGTTACAGCATGACTCTCATAAATGCCTGAGAACTCTAGCAACTCATTTTTTTTTCTTTTGGTGGAGATTGATCCCAGGGCCTCACACTTGGCTTTAGAGTTTCTAAGTGGGGGAGTAAAACTGTCCTCATGTCCAGGAAGAAAAAGACAGGAAGGGTCAGGGTCCCACAGAACCCTTTGAGGGTATACCCCCAATGACCTAGGATTTCTCACTAGGCCCCACCTCCTAAAGGCTCCGCAACTTCCCAATAGCACCAAGTTGGGGGCCAATTTTTTAACACATGGGCTTTTGAGGGACATTCAACATTCAAATGATATCAGGAACCAAGTGGGGGTGAGAGCTTTCCTGGCGTATCACCACCTTTTATGACACATCTCTTGTTTAATGTGGTGGCTCTCAAGGCTCAGGGGTCTCATATCTAAACACTCTCTACCTAGATTCTGTCCCTTGTTATGTTGTTATGATTTTCTTTTTCTTTTTTTTTGGTACTGGGGATTGAATCCAAGGGCACTTAATCACTGAGCCAAATCCCCAGATTTTTTTTTTTTTTTTTTTTTTTTGAGACTGGGTCTCCCTCAGTTGTTTAGTGCCTGGCTAAGTTGCTGAGGCTGGCTTTGAACGTGAGTTCAAGATCCTCCTTGCCTCAGCCTCCAGAGCTACTAGGATCACGGGCCTGTGCAACCATGCCTGGCTGATTCTCAAGAATAATTGTCTTGAAGTTCTGTAGTTTGGAAGCAGGAAGGCTAGGAAGGAAGAATAGTCTGAGGGAAAATGATGATAGGCAGAGGAAGGTGAGGAATTAGGAGGATCAACATGAGTTCAATCCCCAGTACTAACAGAAATGAAAAATGATTTTAAAAATTGAGTTCAAGTTTAAATACTAAGGTGCTAATTAATGCGTGCTTGGGACAAACTATATCAGCATAATATAGAAATATGGCTTTAGTACTTCAGTAGTGCCTCTCACATGCTAGGCAAGCACCCTACCATTGAACCACACCCTCCGCCCCAAGTCTATACTTTTATATTGGTTTATGAACTACTAAATCAGTAGGGTGCAGTGCCTCACACCTGTAATCCCAGCAGCTCAGGAAGCTGAGGCAGAAGGATGGTGAGTTCAAGGCCAGCCTCAGCGATTTGGCGAAACCCTGTCTCAGAATAAAAATTAAAAAAGGGCTGGGGATGTGGTTGAGTAGTTAAATGCCMCTGGGTTCAATACCTGGTACCAAAAAATAAAAATGAAAGAAAGAAACTCTTGACAGTTTCTTAAAGCAGTAATCAGCTGGGTGCAGTGACCAATTCCTGTAATCCCAATGATTTGGGAGGATGAGTTTGAGACTAGCCTGGACAATCTCAAAATAAAAATCAAAAAGGGCTGGGGATGTAGCCCAGTGGTAAAACACCCCTAGGTTCACTTCTAGTATCGCAACATCATCAAAAAATAAATTAACTAAGCCGGGCTCGGTAGTGTACACCTATGATCCCAGCAGCTCAGCTGAGGCAAGAGGATTGCAAGTTCAAAGCCACCCTCAGCAACTTAGTGAGATCCTGTGTCCAAATAAAATATAAAAAGGACTAGGAAAGTCAATGAGGAAACTGAGTCTTGTCTATTATGTAGCAGAGCTGGAATTTAAACCCAAATTGTTTAATCCCCATTGAGGTCATAATACACATATTAATACTTATCTTCAGAATATTGTCTCCAACAGGTTTACTGAAGATGAGAATTTTAGCTGTTTTTTTCTTGCCTCTGCTCAGCTGAGCTGCTGGGATCATAGGTGTGCACTACCGAGTCCAGCTTAATTAATTTATTTTTTGATGATGTTGCGATATTAGGAAGTGAACCTAGGGGTGTTTTACCCCTGGGCTACATCCCCAGCTCTACCTCAGTGGTAGAGCATTTGCCTAGCACTTATGAGGCACTGGGTTCGATCCTTAGCACTACATAAAAATAAATAGATAAAGATTAAAAAACATTTTGGCTGGGTAGGTTGGAGCCTGCTTTTGATTTTTTTCAAGAAGACTCTGGATACCTGACCTTTTTAAAAATATATATATATTTAGTTGTAGATGAACACACAGTATCTTTATGTGGTGCTGAGGATCAAACCCAGTGCCTCACACATGCAAGGCAAGTGCTTTAATACTGAGCTACAGCCCCAGCCCTGGATACTTGATCTTGGGTATCTCAGAAACAATCCCCAGGGCTGGGGATGTGGCTTAAGCGGTAGTGCGCTCGCCTGGCATGGGTTTGATCCTCAGCACCACATACAAAGATGTTGTGTCCACTAAAAAATAAATATTAAAAAAAAAWT